TCATTCAAGGTCGAGTAGCTTAGATTCGATGGACAACCCTACTTATAAAGGATATGAATGTCCTATAACATATACAACCAGAAAATATAGAAATGAAATTAACTACAGATTGGCAATAGATTCTCGTTCAGATTTTGCAAATATACATTCTTTTTCAGTACGACATATTACTATGTCATTTACCACAGTCTGCAAAACCAAAGGGACCATAATAATGCTACGACCGCTTGGAAATGAGGGCTCGGAGTGTGAGAATAATCATTGCTGAATTTATTTCTCATTGTTCATTCCTCAAATTTTATTATGGGTAGATTATTTGGCTGCTAAGCCATAGGCAGACCTGGAAATTGGAATAGTTACAGTCTTTGTAGTATTAATTAAAAATTGATTAAAGCATTATCACATTGGATATCAGATATGTAATTTGTCTGTAGACGAGTCAAGCAAAACTATGGATTAGATGCAGAAACTTGGCTTCTACATGTGGGGGTCCTCCCCTTTGGTCTGGCTAAAGCATTTGTTAGGTTCTTAGTTTTGTACATTATCCTATTATTAACCCCAAAAGGATACAGTGCAGTTCTATACAGCAGCAGATATGCTTCCATGAGGCTACATTAGGGCTTGGTTAGACCAGTTTCTTTGCTATATGTTACTCATAGCAGTTTGAATCATTTTAGTCCTGGTTAGCTGTTAGCAATGCATTACTATGGATCTGTAATAAAAAGGCCGAAAAATGGCAGCAGTCAAACAGGAATTTGATGAGCAAATTTGGACTGATTTTGAAGTCATGTGTACATATTTAGCTGATGGAGAATGTTTCTCAGTTATGGAAACAAAGGTTTCCTAATGTGTTGTTCATGAATTTTTTTACCAGGATAAGAGCTACAGCATGAAGGAGCTGCAAACTATGTTTTGGGAGATGGCCAAAGGTTTTGAGTTTCCTGACTGGTCTAATTTTCCTCAGCCTGTATATGACTCTCCTCAGTGGTCTTGCACATCAGTGAGACTTGATGACCCCAGAACCTAAAAGGTTGCACGATGGGATACACATACTGTGGCGGACAGAAGTTCCCAATTCCACATGACTGGCCATGAGAGGTGTGGGACTTGTCATTTTAACAGATAGCTGGGAATACGTCACAGCGTTAGAGGTTGGAGATGTATGACTAGTAATTGTAGAAGATAGGTGGGCTGTACCAAGTTGTTTCACGAGCAGTCCAAACAATAGTGAGTGTCCATAGCAACAAAGATGCTCATTTTTTGTTTCTTGGAATCCTTATGTATATGGAAATATGCTCCTTTTGGCTTTTACGACATTTTAAGATCTAAATNCCATAGCAACAAAGCTGCTCATTTTTTGTTTCTTGGAATCCTTATGTATATGGAAATATGCTCCTTTTGGCTTTTACGACATTTTAAGATCTAAATCGTAGCATCATTACAACTTTTTTATATAGTTTCTACTGTTATTAGCCAAGGCATTATGTGGGCAACATTGTTGCAAACAGCTTTGCAGGAAGAAGAAGGTAATGCCGTGTTGGATTGTTCATGCAAGCAAAGCCCTCTGTCGTGGGTGTGGCTTGGCCAAGAGGACTTTATTACATACATTTAGCAGTGTTTCTCTGGGAAATGCAAATTTAGGAGACTTGGATATCAAGAGTTTTGAGTCCTAGAAACGATTTATTTGTATGCAAGGGTAAATTAAGGGAGAAGATGCGATGGTACATTATTTGATGCATTGCAAGCAACAAACTTGCAATTTTCCATTGATCAATTCTAATTTCGTGCCTAATGTTCTTGATGTGGTTACTGGGAATCCCTCTGGGTCACAATTTTGTACTGATTTGGCACCAATTGGAGGAACTGAAAGTGCCTATCATTTGTTGGTACAACATTGCTGCATTGAGTGGAGCTATGCTCTAGGTCTCTCGACTATAGAGAGTTGCAACTTATATTCCTTCCGATCTCATACTCAACATAGTGACAGATTATAACAATTGATATAAATCATGGACTGAAATCACTCTTGAGAACCGGCTTACAAGAAAAGAGTGTCCAAGAGTTCATATAAGCACATCTAAGCTCATATTTGACCGTGGGATCATAACATGCATTGCTCCAAAATGAAAAGGATGTTCTCGTTTTCAAGTTTGGTATAGGTGGTCACGGAACAATAAAATGGGTAAATTCAGTATAAGCCTATACCGATCCATCTCCGACCCACTTTGAAATGAAGCTCCATGCTGCATCCGAAGCAGTTCTAGAGAATGTGTGGGCCAACTTCATAGCTCAAACTATGGTGGACCAGCAACTTAAAACTACACAAGAATTGTCCAAAGAATTACTCAAGCCATTTACAATCCGCATACACAACTGAGTTACTCAAATCTTTAACTTTCGAGCTGATTAAATGAGTGGTCTAGTTTTGAGTGACAATTAAGGATTATAGAACATATGCAAGTCCTTTTTTATGATTCATTGGGGTTGTTGAGTAGATTGAACCCTAAGAAACAAACTAGGTTGGAAGAAGCTCCAAGGGATGGGCGGTGGCCTTTTTACAAGTTTCTTCTCCTTCACTCATTGATGACTGCAGATTTAATATCCCAATTCCTTTGTCCCCTTTTCTCTCTATTNGTTATGGAAACAAAGGTTTCCTAATGTGTTGTTCATGAATTTTTTTACCAGGATAAGAGCTACAGCATGAAGGAGCTGCAAACTATGTTTTGGGAGATGGCCAAAGGTTTTGAGTTTCCTGACTGGTCTAATTTTCCTCAGCCTGTATATGACTCTCCTCAGTGGTCTTGCACATCAGTGAGACTTGATGACCCCAGAACCTAAAAGGTTGCACGATGGGATACACATACTGTGGCGGACAGAAGTTCCCAATTCCACATGACTGGCCATGAGAGGTGTGGGACTTGTCATTTTAACAGATAGCTGGGAATACGTCACAGCGTTAGAGGTTGGAGATGTATGACTAGTAATTGTAGAAGATAGGTGGGCTGTACCAAGTTGTTTCACGAGCAGTCCAAACAATAGTGAGTGTCCATAGCAACAAAGCTGCTCATTTTTTGTTTCTTGGAATCCTTATGTATATGGAAATATGCTCCTTTTGGCTTTTACGACATTTTAAGATCTAAATCGTAGCATCATTACAACTTTTTTATATAGTTTCTACTGTTATTAGCCAAGGCATTATGTGGGCAACATTGTTGCAAACAGCTTTGCAGGAAGAAGAAGGTAATGCCGTGTTGGATTGTTCATGCAAGCAAAGCCCTCTGTCGTGGGTGTGGCTTGGCCAAGAGGACTTTATTACATACATTTAGCAGTGTTTCTCTGGGAAATGCAAATTTAGGAGACTTGGATATCAAGAGTTTTGAGTCCTAGAAACGATTTATTTGTATGCAGGGGTAAATTAAGGGAGAAGATGCGATGGTACATTATTTGATGCATTGCAAGCAACAAACTTGCAATTTTCCATTGATCAATTCTAATTTCGTGCCTAATGTTCTTGATGTGGTTACTGGGAATCCCTCTGGGTCACAATTTTGTACTGATTTGGCACCAATTGGAGGAACTGAAAGTGCCTATCATTTGTTGGTACAACATTGCTGCATTGAGTGGAGCAATGCTCTAGGTCTCTCGACTATAGAGAGTTGCAACTTATATTCCTTCCGATCTCATACTCAACATAGTGACAGATTATAACAATTGATATAAATCATGGACTGAAATCACTCTGGAGAACCGGCTTACAAGAAAAGAGTGTCCAAGAGTTCATATAAGCACATCTAAGCTCATATTTGACAGTGGGATCATAACATGCATTGCTCCAAAATGAAAAGGATGTTCTCGTTTTCAAGTTTGGTATAGGTGGTCACGGAACAATAAAATGGGTAAATTCAGTATAAGCCTATACCGATCCATCTCCGACCCACTTTGAAATGAAGCTCCATGCTGCATCCGAAGCAGTTCTAGAGAATGTGTGGGCCAACTTCATAGCTCAAAATATGGTGGACCAGCAACTTAAAACTACACAAGAATTGTCCAAAGAATTACTCAAGCCATTTACAATCCGCATACACAACTGAGTTACTCAAATCTTTAACTTTCGAGCTGATTAAATGAGTGGTCTAGTTTTGAGTGACAATTAAGGATTATAGAACATATGCAAGTCCTTTTTTATGATTCATTGGGGTTGTTGAGTAGATTGAACCCTAAGAAACAAACTAGGTTGGAAGAAGCTCCAAGGGATGGGCGGTGGCCTTTTTACAAGTTTCTTCTCCTTCACTCATTGATGACTGCAGATTTAATATCCCAATTCCTTTGTCCCCTTTTCTCTCTATTCTTTCAAATTCAAAGTATACCCCCCTTACCAAGCATTTTCCTTTGTTTCTTTGTGACAAGAACTACTAACATGAACATTAGTGCATCTTGAAAATTGAAATCCTTGAATTGAGTAATGTTAGAGGAGAAAGATAAAAGAAAGGGAATTAGAAAAACATGGTATATATATATACTAGTTATTTTTCGTGCTTGATGGCACGAAGTAATAAATATATTTGTATTTGCACTCAAAATTAAACTACAAAGAAAGAGGAGAAAATTTTTTTTTAACACTGATGGTAATGGTGGTGAGCGATGGTAGTGGTGGTGGACGACAGTGGTGGTGTTGGGAAACGTTGATAATTCTGGTGGGTGGCGACGACCGTAGTGGCGGTGACAACCGTGGGTCTCAACGGTGATGGTGGTGGTGGGTTTGGGTGATGATGGTAATAGTGACAGTCATAGGTGACGGTAATTGTGGTGGTGGGTATGGGTGGTGGTGTTGGCAGTAATAGTGGTAAACGACGGTGATAGTGATTGGTAGTGGTGGTGGAGGGCCAATGATGGTGGTGGTAGGCAGTGACGATGGTGGTGATGAGGATGATATGTATTTTTGGGCGATAGTGTGATGGGTAGTGGCGAATTGCAGTGGTGGTGATAGGTGTGATGGGGGTGGGTGATAGTGGGTGGTAGTAGTGGTGAACGATGACGGGTAGTGGTGATAGATATGGTGGGTGTGGGTGTGGGTGACAGTGACTAGCGGCGATGGTGAACAATGACTGGTGGTGGTGGGTGCTAACGGTGGACGACAGTGGTAGTGGGATGATTGTGGTGGTTGTAATCAATATAAGAATGAGATGACGATGGTGGTGAATGGTGGCGGTGGACGATGATAGTAGCAATTGGTGATAAGTGGCGATGTTGTTAATGGTTGTGGGGGTGGCCTGGTGGGGGTGGTGACAGTGGGAGTAATGGCGGCGACGACGATGGTGGTGGTGGTGGGATGCCAGTGGTAATAGTAGTGGTGATGGTTGTGGGGCGTTAGGGGTGGTAGTGCTAGGGGTGATGATGGGACAGGGATGGTGGCGATGGGGTGGCGACAGTAGTAGTAGCGGTAATGATGATGTTGGTGGGGGCAATTATGGTGATGGTGGTTGTTGTGACAGAGATGGTGATAGGGTGGCGACGATGGTGGTGGTGGTGGTGGTGATGGCAGGGTGGCGACATCGGTGGTCGTGGTGGTAGGGGTGGTGGTAGTGATGATGGTGGTGGTGAGGCGGTAGGTGTGGACCTGCGATAATGATGGTTGTGGCAAAGATGGCGGCGGTGATCGTGGTGGTGGGACAATGGAGAGGGGGGTGGTGGGGGTAGTTATGGCGGTAGTGGTGGTGGGGCGATAGGAGTGGTAGGGGGCGGTTCCAAATATAACTTTTTTTTTAAAGTATTTATGAAAAGTTATAAATTCTAAAAATACTTTTAAAAAATCACTTCAATTACACTTTTAGGGGACTATTTCCCCTATTGAATTTGAGGTATTAATATTAACTATCGGATTAATTTTAAAGTAAAATTTAAAGATTATATAGTCCAAATAAATACAAGAAAATTATTCAAAGTCAGCGTCGATAACGGGATGGCGAGAACAGTGATTTTGAACAAAGACTTAACGGCAGCTGACGGAATCGCCGTTAGAAGTGACGGAGTGGTGGTGGTGGTGAGTCACCAAAAGGTTCACTTCATTAAAAGTGATGACAGCTGGGGTGAGGGTGTGGTATTTGACGAAACTGCTCGAGGTTGAGAGAGGTGCAAGTGGTGTGGCAGTCGGGGAAGAGGACAGGGTGTATTTATGGGCATGTGATTGAGGGCATGATTAGAAATTCCGAGAGGGATGAGTTTGGGATAGTGGAGGTTAGGTCAGAGAAAGAGAGCAAAGAAGAGAATGTTTGGATATATGTGTTGATTGGGTTTGGTTTGGTTTATTTCTTGTTTTGGAGATTTCAGATGCGCCAACTTGTCAATAACATGAACAAGAAAATACCTTAGTTTTTGTATTTCTTTTTTATTTTGTGTTTTTATTTCACCAAGTAAAATAAATGTTTTGATTTTCTTGTATGGAATGAACAACCATGGTGGTCCCTCACTAATGCATTGATCTGGATCCCTAATAGATCTATTGTCTATGTCATGTCTAAATTTTCGTAGGCAAACAAAGGAACCTTACTAAGAATCAGATCATTTCTTAGTACATAGTAATATCTAATATAGGAAGTTTCAGCAACAAAGGGGTTAGTTTGCATTACATATTGAATCTGAATCTATGCTCACATCACATTAGACTGGAAGGAACGATCAAAAACTAACCACTCAAAGCGAAAAGGCCAGTTTAAAGGGTGTTTAACTGCTCTGACACGAGGCATAATTCCAAATTTTGCAAGGTGTTACAAGTTATTGTTGAACTATAACATAACGTAATCTGATACACAGAAAGATAGACGTTCAGTTAGTGAGAAACAATCAATTGTTATCACTGGAAGTCATCATGGCAGAGTTGGTTCCACCAGAGGTGCAGCTGCACCATTCAGGAGACTTGGTAGAGGAGGAGAAGACTTTTTTCCCTTTTCTAATGGTTGAGGTGGGGGAATCTTTTCCCCGGTCTCAACTTTTGAGTTCGTTAACCCAGCCTTTGCCCTGAGCATTTCAAGCTTCTCCATAATTATCCTCTTCATCTCGGCTCTTGAAATGCGTGCTTCAGCATGCTCTGGTGAAAAAAGAGTGAATCCACTTACAGATGCAGCAGTCAAACACAATGCTATATCTCTCCGTGAGACTCTGGTGAAGGTTTTATCTGCTTGTTTTTCTTCTTCCTTGCTTCTGATCTGCAACACAAGCAAAACCAATGTTGAAAGATAAAATGCTACTCGGTGTCTTAAAACTGCTCGAGAATTATGCCCATATTCAATGGAGATTATCATTTNCCACTCGGTGTCTTAAAACTGCTCGAGAATTATGCCCATATTCAATGGAGATTATCATTTACTATAAAATATGATTTGCATGAGTTCATTTCAAATATAATATCTGCCAGTAACAGCGCAAGAAATCAAGGACACAAGAACTTATGCCGGTGGCTTCAGTATGCCTGCAATTTTAGGCCAGATAACATACAAGGCATCAATCCTATTCTACTACCAATATAAGGTCCCTGGTCACATAACACATAGCAATTAATTACATAGGGAAAAAATGTAACAAATGCACATTTTAGTGCTCTGTAATTTCTATGGGACGTGGGTTGGGTGTTACACCAAGAGCTTGCTATAAAACATGGCAGAAAAAAAGGATATGTAGGAATATTTAAAAGCTGTAAACTTACAAATAAAGAAGTCAACAATTGCTAAGAAAAGCCAAGTTTAAGACCAGTTAGATCTAAAGAACAGAGAGAAAAACATAAAATAACTTGATAAATTAGTGGAAACAAAAACTAAGGTTTTTAGCAAATATTAAATGCATTACGAAACAGGGATTCAATGTATGGTACGAAACAAGGATTCAAGAAATTAAGAAAATGCAAAATAAACTATGAAATCAAGTTTGAGCGAGATAATAACAATCAATACAATAACTTGCGACTTAGCAGAAAATGACTCTCAATAGAGTACAATAACGAAACATGATTCATGTAACCAATCCCTAATAGTTTGGGATGAAGCTTTCTTGAGTTGAGTTGAGGAATGATGACTATAAGTTCTATAGTATTTGCTCAAGTTAGTTTTCCAAATGTAGTGCTTTTATTTTGGGGGAAGAAAAGGTTGGGGTGGTGATTTGGAGCATACCAGTACAACTAATATAAAAATTTAGAAGTTTAATCAACATGATGTAGCGTAATGATAGAAAAAGAAAACTTTTACACGGAAAAAAAGAATCAACACGAGTCTTGGTACCAACTTAGACTAGATTATTAAATCATGGAACACAGAAGCAAAGCAACAAAATATTACAAAGAAATAATTGTATACATTCACTACGACCTTAAGGTTCACCAATCACCACAAGCATATCACTGCTCTGCCAGTATAGTACAAATAAGGTGTTGACACAGAGAAGTGCACGAAAGAACAACAAAGATAAGGAGAGGCTTGCACGAAGCTCTCGTTAATGCAGGGTCTAAAAAGGTTAGATGAAAGCAAAGATACCTTAATGATTACAAACCACCCAAAACAAGGAAGCAAAGACAAACAAAACAAATTTTTTGAAATTTCTGACCAAAGATTAAGAAGAGAAACCATCCCACCATATAATACAATTCTTTTAAAAAGGTTGGGTTCATATGACATTAGAGAGGAGAAATGTAAGGAACCCTTCCCACTTCTACCAAATGTAAATATAATAAGTGACTGTATGCTAGCAGAAAAATCACTTAATTAGCCAGATTATCATGTACTACAGTTACTGATATTCCATGTGTTTTCGCATGCTATTATTGAAAAGGATATTGTCAATTGCTGATATACATAACTTGTAATGTTGGGGCGCACCTTTTAAACNTGTGTTTTCGCATGCTATTATTGAAAAGGATATTGTCAATTGCTGATATACATAACTTGTAATGTTGGGGCGCACCTTTTAAACAAAAGAATGACGGTAAAGAGGATGTTATACAAATTCAAGAAAAAAGAGTAGAAAGTCAAGTAAGAAGGAAGGAGGCCAGTCCTAAAAAATGCTCCACGCGCAGACTCGTTTGTCATTGGACCTTACAATTTAGCTTGTNACAAAAGAATGACGGTAAAGAGGATGTTATACAAATTCAAGAAAAAAGAGTAGAAAGACAAGTAAGAAGGAAGGAGGCCAGTCCTAAAAAATGCTCCACGCGCAGACTCATTTGTCATTGGACCTTACAATTTAGCTTGCGACTCATTCCCTAACTAGAGTTTTCTTCGAGCATCGATTAATCTATCACACTATCCGCTCGTCTGATTTTGGTTGTCGAATCATTCTTGACATTATGTATCTAGTTATTGTATTTTTGCACGTACTCTGTAGTTTCTTAGCAGGTTTTGCATATTATCTTGCCTCATCATTTTCATTCACTATTATGATGATCTTTCTACTTGAACCTTTTCGATATTATATTTTGCAATATTGTAGATTCTACAGCTATTATACAATCGCATATCCAACTCATGCCATCAATATCAAGCTCCTTTAGTGTCATTTCAATCAAATGCCTAGCCATCCTTTTGTAAGGAAAACAATGATGGGATATCAATAGTCTTTTCAAAAAACATCAAAAGCCCTTGCTAACCAACTCAACCATTGTTTTTAAATTCTTCCCAGGAATTAGAGCAAGCAGAGATGCATTTATCAAATTAAAGGTCAAATTAATGTAAAGTTTAACGTAGGAAAAATGAATACTATTTCGAACAAGCCAAAAAGCTACATACAAAACAACATGAAGTGATACTTATATCATGCCCTAAATCAGAGAAAGGGGGAGGGGGGAAATGGGGGCCACATTTGCACAAGAAGTATGAGAGAGAAAGAGAGGTCCTCATCGAAACTTAGCCAGAAAAGAAGACTCAAATACCTACAAAATCCAAAAAATAATCAAGTGAGCTAGTGAAGCAACCAGTAGTCCAGTTAAAAAAGCTCTAGATGAGCATTCCTCTCTTCTTAGAAGTACAATCAACAAAGATACATAGGATTCGCTACCTGCATTGCACATGTTCTTTCCAACTCAACCTATTACTTGGAGCAGCTAACTCTACCAACATCTTAGGAAAATCTCATTCACCCCACCAAGCATTAACACTAAAGATCCCAACTCCAGTGCAACCTTAAAAATAGAGGTGATCCATTGGCTACTTCACTGCATACAACACCAAATAAGAAGTTTCCTGCTCCATCAATTAATCTAAAACCTCCCAAGTGCAANGTCAAGAGAATAATGTTATCTTCGTTTCTGGGATCTGGGAGTACCAAGGCCGGTGAAAGCCCATCCTATAGGTGTCCTTTTGAAGAAGGTGCACCAAGTATATGAACATATGTGTGTTTACATTTTTTTAATTTCTTTATTTTTTTTTTTGATATGGTTGCTCCTACTAGGTGAGATCATTAAGGGAAAGANCCATTTTTTTTTTTTAGGGGGGGGGGGGTTGCTTTTCAACCCTAGCCATAATCTCCTCAAATCATCATAAACCAAAAGATCCATCACAAAACATATATGGTTAAGTTTCAATTGGAATTACAAAACAACAGTCGGACAGTAGCAAATAGCTTAAAGCCATTTTAACAACAAGAACTAAACCTAGCAAAGGGTTTCTGGGAATGGTGGTTCTACCTTTACTTTAACCAGAAAAACGAACTTAAGAAACCGTTTATGGCGTTCAGTTGCTACCTACTCTTACAACAATTTACCCAATACAAACAGCCAACACCACAGTAATCCACATTGCACATATCCATATTCCACATAACTAGCCATCTTTCTACACATAGGACCAAAATAATTAGCCATTTTTCACTGAAACTACCCATTCCCATTTCGCTCACAACCGCAAGCAATCCACAGCACAGTTAATTTCTCAACAGAATATCAAATTGGTGGGTAATGAATTTACTATTTATAAGCAAAGATAGAGTCAAAGTACATATAGGTAAAAGTTGGGAGCTTGGGTTTGAATTTAAACCTGAAGAGGGACAAGAGCTATTTTCACCATTGGTATTCTTGGCCGTTTCGCATGTGACTCATTTGGTTTGATCACCGGAGGGTTTGGACCCACTACTAGTTTCAAGATAGAGAACGACATTTCTCTCCGACTGCGATGGGTGTGGACTTTTCCGGCGAGATCAAAGGCTCCGATTCGATGTTGTACTCAACTTTTGACTGAGTTCAAAGAAAGGTTGTGGCGGCTGAAGATCAGGGCAGCCAGGGTATTAATGCACTCCACAAAACTAAGGCTGTGATTGGGCACTGGGGTGGGACAGGATAGGATATCTTTTTTAATATTTTAACACATCCAAACCAAATTCACTCCTCCACTTTAAAACTTCAACATTGAAATATATCTAATCATAATCTTTGTGTGAAAAATAAATGTGTAATTAAGTGGACTTCATAAATTACACAAATAATTTTGTAATAATTTACTATTCTGCAATAATTTTAACCATTCTAATTCAAATCAATCTTAACATATGTTTGGATCAATGAATTATCNCCACAAAACTAAGGCTGTGATTGGGCACTGGGGTGGGACAGGATAGGATATCTTTTTCAATATTTTAACACATCCAAACCAAATTCACTCCTCCACATTAAAACTTCAACATTGAAATATATCTAATCGTAATCTTTGTGCGAAAAATAAATGTGTAATTAAGTGGACTTCATAAATTACACAAATAATTTTGTAGTAATTTACTATTCTGCAATGATTTTAACCATTCTAATTCAAATCAATCTTAACATATGTTTGGATCGGTGAATTATTCTAATAAAATTATACATTTTTCATATATACATAAAAATATATAAAAATAAAATAATAATTTTTATTTATTAGGAAAGTTAATATTATTTTTTTTTGGTATTTTTTTTTTCAAAAAAATCAACACTTTATTTGATTTCTTAAAAATTGATTACAATGAGAGGTAGGCAAACAACCTTGCCTTCAAACAATAATATGATAAAGCAACCAAAACAATGAAAATATAAACGCAGTCTCAAAGACTTGAATTTTCCTCAACATCATCCTCGCTCTCAAGCTCTTGATTCGNAACCTTGCCTTCAAACAATAATATGATAAAGCAACCAAAACAATGAAAATATAAACGTAGTCTCAAAGACTTGATTTTTCCTCAACATAATCCTCGCTCTCAAGCTCTTGATTCGAATTCAACCCAATTGAAGCTTGATCTTCAACTAGATGCTTGAGTACAGGAACTAGTTCAAGTGCTGGTTCTGGTTCTGGTTCTGGTTCTGGTTCTGGTTCCCGCTCCCTTTCCTCCCATTTTCAGGCTTGTAATAGAAGTTCCGGTGAGGAGAAGAACGATGCAAAGCTAGATCCTCCTTCCCAAATCTTTACAAACACCCTTTTCTCCCAATGAGTCAAGATCATTACTGGACCTCAGTCTCTTCATAATGAATCCACATAAACAACCAAGTATACCAAAAACAGATCATCCACAAAAACACCCACTTACATAAAAATCACCATCACCCACCGATCTAAATACCTCCGTATGTAAATTCTATACAAAACCAATTATCGTGACAAAGAGCATGGCACCAAAGAAGATAGAGAACTTCAAAAACCTTCAAATGTGGAATTTAATATTGTCTTAGTTAAGCCTTTCCAAGTACTTGAAAATAGTCATTCCTCTTGTGGAGACAACACATTAGCTGGTAATCTTCAAAACAAAATACTTCACAATGGACCTGATTAACAATGGACCACATAAAATTGCAAGAAAACCTAATTTATGGAAACAACTCTGAAACAATTTTGACAGCAAAATGGGCGAGTATGACGATGCTTACTTAAATCATCATTGTATAAAAGAAGAAAAAAGCACCGATTGACATGAACTCCAAAAATTGGATCCGGCAGGCATATAGAAAAAAAAATGGCTAGTCTCCCAGGGCAATTTATTGAATTTGAAGCCAAACTTCAAGAATTCAAACAGTTAGTTATTCAAATTCCCATTTGAAAAATCCTTGTGCAGGTAGGGTAGGTATATATCTTATATAATTTAGAAGCTACAACAAAACCCCTCAAGATCCCCAGCAACATTCATTTCTTTATACAATCAATTTTTCAATGAATTAAAAATCAAACAGGAAGTACAAGGGGGAAAAAACTACCAATACTCCCTACGCCTTCTTTTTTTTCTTGCTAGGCCATCCCACCCATTAAGATGTAACCATTACTATGATCAAATATCTGACAAGAAAATCGAAAAAAAAAAAATTGATACAATCAAACTCACTTTTGATTAAAAAAACACACAATCTTGAAAAACCCAACACACAACCACTTTAAATATGAAAATACAACACAAAAAAATTCAATGAAAAAAATGATCAGATTAAGAATATTATGACGGACCTCAGGGAGACAAGAAAATGCGACGGATGCAGATCTGGATCTGTCCGTGAGCTCTTATGTTATTTGTTTGGCCGAGAGAGAGGCTCATACCTCCCAATCGGTTCATCGCCTTTTGTCACCTTCTGTGATGCTCTCAACCCAACAGCTGGCTTTGACTGAAAATGCTTAGACGAAAGTGAAGGGTGGAAGTCAATTGAGAAAATGGTAAAAATGTAATTATTTTTTGTTAACCTCTAGGCTGGGTTTGTAACCCATGGAGGGGGTGGGTTAATTTTAACCGGTATAGATGGGTTACAAAGCACTGTAGCAACCGGGTCATGACTAGACCCGGGATTTGTATCCTGGCTCAAATTTTACTTTCTAAACAAAGAATTTGTGGGACCCACGGTCTAATTAACCTATCCATGTAGGTGTTAACCCACTTTATCCCACTATCCAAACACACCCTCATTGTTTTCCTTAAAAAAGGATCGCTAGGCATTTGATTGAAATGAGACTAAAGGAGTTTGATATTGATGGCATGAGTTGGATATGCAATTGTATAATAGCTATAGAATCTACAATATTGCAAAATATAATATCAAAAATGTTCAAGTAGAAAGATCATCATGATAGTGAATGAAAATGATGAGGCAAGATAATATGCAGAACCTCCTAAGAAACTACAGACTAGGTGCAAAAATACAATAACTAGATACATAATGTCAAGTATGATTAGATAACCAAAAATCAGACAAGTGGATAGTGTGTGATAGATTAATCAATGCTCAAAGAAAACTCTAGTTAGGGAATAAGTCACAAGCTAAATTGTAAGCTCCAATGACAAACGAGTCTATGCGTAGAGCATTTTTTAGGACTAGCCTCCTTCCTTCTTACTTGACTTTTAACTCTGTTTTCTTGAATTTGTATAGCGTCCTCTTTACCGTCAGTCTTTTGTTTAAAAGGTGCGCCCAACATTACAAGTTATGTATATTAGCAATTGACAATATCTTTTTCAATAATAGCATGCGAAAATATCTGTAACTGTAGTACATGATAATTCGGCTAATTAAGTGATTTTTTTTGCTAGCATACAGTCACTTATTATATTCACATTTGGTAGAAAAGGGAAGGGTTCCTTACATTTCTCCTCTCTAATGTCATATGAATCCAACTTTTTTGAAAGAATTGTATTATATGGTGGGATGGTTTCCCCTCTTAATATTTGGTCAAAAATTTCAAAAAATGTAGTTGTGCCGGGCAGTAGTGGTGGTGATGGGAGACGGTGATAGTTGTGGTGGGCAGTGATGATCGTGGTGATGGTGGTAGCCGTGGCAATCGTGTCTAGTGGAACGATTTTGTGTCTAGTGGAACTGGTTTGTGTTAAAAAAAACCCTCCATTTATACCTCATTCGTTTATATAAATGAGTCCAACTATCATACACATACACTAATCATTTATTAGACGGGTTATCCGATACAACCCGTGTGTCACCCGCTAAATAAGAGAATAAGTTAAAGTATTTGTAGTACACACGAAAAATCATCAACTTGCTACACATTACACATGTTTGACATGTTTACTATAACAATAAATCATGGTTGAATAAAAAAATAAACATTAAATGACTACTAAATTTGAATGAGTCTAAGAGATGGGAGATGGGAGATGAGGTAAAGGTTAAGAGACCTAAATTTTTTTAAAAAAATTTAAAGTACAACTGTTAACAGGTTGAAATGAATTTATGGGTTAAACACGAAACTGGTTCATTTATTTCACGAGTCTGCCGAGGTAACCCGTTAACCACTCAAACCCGTTAAGACTACATTCAAACCCGCTAAATATGTATCGGTTTCACGAGTCGTGTTTAAAATTGTCAAGCCTAGCCGTGGGTGACAATGGTGATGGATTTTAGGTGACAATAATGGTAGTGGCCGTCATGGGTGATGACGGTGGTGGTGGTGGGTGTGGGTGGGTGTGGATGGCGGTGGTTGGCAATGGTAATGCTAGGGTGACGACAGTGGTGGTGACGGTGGTGGGTTGTGGTGATGGGCGATGACGATGGTGATGGTGGGCAACGACAGGTACTTGTGGGTGACAGTGGTGGTGGGTGATGGTGGGGTGGCATTGATGGTGGGCGATGACAGTTGATGGTGGTTGGTGGTGGTAGGTGTGGTGGGAGTGGGTAGCCGCAATAATGGGCAATGACAGGTGGTAGTGGGTTGTGGGTGGGGGTGAACAACGATGGTGGTGGTGGGGCGACGGTGGTTATGGGATGATGGTCGTGGAAGACAGTGGTGGTGGGATGATGGTAATAGTGGTAATAAATATAAAAATGAAATGATGATGATAGTGGGCAATGGTGGTAACAATCGGTGGTGAGCGAAGACAGTGGTGGTGGTGGGGTGACAACAGTGGGGAGTGGCATAGGTGGTGGAGAGGTTGCGATGATGGTGGTAGTGGTGGGGCGATGGGGTGACGGTAGTGGTGGTGGTGGTAGTGGTAAAGCAGTTCCAAACATTACCTTTTTTTTAAAGTGCTTATGAAAAATTATAAGTTCTAAAAGTACTTTTAAAAAATCACCCTAAATATACCCTTTTTGAGCCTATTTTTCCTATTAAATTTGGGAAATTAATATTAGTCGTCGAATTAACTTTAAAATAAAATTTAAAACAAACTCAACCACAAAAAATAGAAGTCATATGTTCTTTATCATGTC